AAAAACTAATATAACTTAAAAAAAAAACAAAATTAAAATAAACTTTAAAGAAAACATATCGAAAAAAATCAAATACAACATAAAATAAACCCATTTGATTTATAACAAAAAACAAAACGAAAAACATATAAAACATAAATACTCTGGATTTATTTTAAACTTTTTTATAGATCAATAATTAACGATTTACTCAAATCAGGAACCGGCCGTTTTAATTTCTTAACTACATACAATTTATCATCATACGTGAAAGTAGAAAAAACAGAACTGCTATTGTCATTTAACGTTAGTAGAGAAAAATTCCGATTTACTCGTAATCTTAAATAACGATTACCGAAATCAAATTATGACAAGCACAAAGCACTAACGCGACACACACAAACGTAGGCACTTTTAAGACAAAATTCTGTTACCGAAATTTTGAATCAATTTATACACACACAGATTTGTGGCAAAACAATCAACGGCCTAATTTTGAATACTTCTGCAAATGCAGACTGCATTTTAATCGCACGTTCTCCGCGCGCAAATATTGTTGTCCATCTCTTTTGCAAGCACGGAAATGAGGCTAGCCTCAATTTTGTCTTTTTTCAACTCATACCGCTTATGAGTGTATTGCAGGTTGCTTGCCTATTAACGATATCACAGATTACGGATATCCGTAATCTGTGACGATATGATTTCTATATCCGCTGTAGAGGCAAGCTCCGAGTTTGCCTCATTCGCGTCACAAAATACACGTTGTGTCGAGTGTTTCAGCGCGCTGTTTAATTAAGGGAGCAACGAGTACCTACTGAGATAAAAATAAGAATATAATTTTCCATATTTATTTTTAAAATTTTAGAAAAAAGACACAAATTATTGGCCGAAATGTGTCGTTAAAAAATAGTAAAAAATCCTAATAAGGCGTAAAATTCATTGGTGAGGCACTGCCTCACCTGCCTCATAGGACAAGCCGCCCCTGGGCCGTAGTAATCTATTGTTAAGAAAATTAACTTTTACGCAATGAGGTACTATCATAAAACCGAATTAAAACTGGGGAACTATAATATTTTTACTCCACTCAGGATCCTGAATTCAATACACATGATTACTAAAAATTCATTGTAATATTATTGTTAATATATATTTTGCATTCTTCATTAATAAAACTAATAAACATATTTATAATAATAATAAAAAATATATAAAATACAGCTTTTGTTTAACACGTATAAGTAGCTAAGTGTTGTCCCAGAAAGGAGGTGTTTTAAAAAAGCCCTACGCCCAGTAACTTCTCCCTTCATTGTTTACTCGAAAAAAGTCCTCGTATATGTTTTCATTTGCCGAGAGATCATTTTCAAAATATATTTATAATTAAAATATGCAAGTCTCGGTGATGAAAAATGTACTTCTAATAAATTATTAAAGTACATAAAAAAATAGAAACAAATTTTATTTATTTAAAAAAAATCTCTCGCAAAGCCAGGTTCCTCTTTCTTCTTGAATCAATTATTCGGGCAATAATGCGCCAAAGTAAAATCTGCCAAGTTTATCTGCCATCTTTTTACATATTTCTTCGTCTTTATAAATTTTTTCTATATTTATTCCTTTGGGTGTCCATACAACAAAATAAACTTGTGAAATACCCGTAACAAGCATTTGCCCCTGGACTTGAAAGTAGTAATCATGATTTTTTTTTAGTTTCAATTCTCTCTCTGTCAATGTACAAAATTTGATTAATTTTTTTTCTAACCGCTTCTTCGGGAGACAAATCTTGCGATTTTGAAGGGCATTTAATTTCGACTAATGAACTCCTATTTTTTAGAACCCTGTCTGGACTAGCAGCCAAGTAAGGAAATTGTTTTGAAATAAACAAGCCAAACCGTTCAGTTTTTATATTTTTATTTATTTCAAAACACTTGACAGCTTTTTCCTCACTTTGCTGTCCATATAATAGTATGTATGACTATTACCTCTAAATGTGCTGTACAACAGAGACTCCACAGTTTTAGCTGTTGTTGTAGTCGGTCTAAGTTTGTAAATACCTTCAAAATTTGAAGCCGTAACCCTAATTTCTCTTTCTTTTGCCCAAATATGCCTGTTGCCTAGTGTCTAATTCAATTTGGTCTAAATTCAAAGATAATTTTCTCAAAAAAACCTCTTTGGCTGTCACAAATGTTTCTACATCCATGACAGGATTTTCTAAAAAATGTTTAAAACATAATCGCAGTCGGGACCAGCATACGTAAATTTTTTTACGACATATTTTTTTTACGAATACTTCTAAGACGAGCTTGTTTTATAGACGAACAATATTTTTTTGTTATTAAATCAGGACGGTTTTAATCACAATATATTTACTTATCCCCTCTAAAAAATTGATGACGTCACCTGAAAATTTTGCTGAATAAATCCTATCTAAATTGTATAAAATATGATGAGTCTCTTCTTGTAATTTATCATTCCATTCATATTTTTTGGATTCGGTGACTCAAAAAATTTAATGAATCGGCAAATTTATTTTATTGACTTAATCAGGAACTACAAAACCGAATGCTTTGAAATCTAATGTGAAAAAAAAACATAATAGGCATGCAGTCGTCACGTTTCCGATAGCGAGGAAAGTACTGTCTAAACTCTTTAGATCAATTTTGTTGATTTTCCCATTTTTCCATTTCTCAATTTTTCAATGTTTCAGTTTGGGATTTTTTCACTGTTTCGATTTTTTAATTTTCCTTCCATTTTTAGGTTTTTCAATATTTCAGCTTTGGAATTTTGCAATATTTCGTTCTTCAATTTTTCAAATTTTTGATATTGTGTTTTCTCGGTTTTTAAATTTTTCGATATTTTAATTTTTCAGTTTTTAAAGTTTTAGGTTTTTAGATTTCTCACTATCTCGACTTTTCGATTTTTTAGTTCCATGATTTTTCAATTTGTCGAATTTTTAAATTTTAGATTTTTTGTTCTCAATCATTCAATTTTCTGAGTTTTCAGACTTAGATTTTTTGTTGCTTAATTATTGGATTTTTAAAATTTTTGTTTTTTAAATTTTCCTATTTATCAACTTACTGGGATTTCAATGTTTTGATTTTTTGATTGTTCAATTTCTCGATTTTTTTAATTTTTAGTTTTTGATACGTTTTTTTTTTAATTTTCAGTTTTTCAATTTATTAACTTTACAATATTTCAGTTTTTCAATTCTTTCTTCAATTGTGATTTTTCAATTTTTCGATTTCTGGATTTTTCAGTGTTTCAGTTTTGGATTTTTTCACTTTTCCGATTCTTCAATTTTTTTTCCATTTTTCAGTTTTTCATGATTTCAGTTTTGAATTTTTTCACTTTTTCGATTTTTCAATTTTCCTTCCATTTTTCAGTTTTTCAGTATTTCAGTTCTGAGATTTTGCAATGTTTCGGTTCTTCAATTTTTCCATTTTTTGACGTTTCGATTTCTCGGTTTTTCAATTTTTCGATAGGTATTTTAATTTTTCAATTTTTAAGTTCTACATTTTCCGTTAATTTTGTTTGTTTTCCTTGATGTTTTGATTTCTCGATTATTCGATTTTTCAAATTCTCGCTTTAGATTTTTTGGTTTTCCAATTCTTCGAATTTTAAATTGTTTAATTTTTAGATTGTTCAATTTCTCGATTTATAGATTTTTCAATTTTTCGGTTTACCGATTTTTTTCATTTAAAATGTTTCAATTTTTCAATTATTAAGTTTTCGATTTTTCTATTTTGGTGTAATTTGAAAACGGTATCAATAATACATCTAGGCGAATAAACTAATAGACGGGCTTGATAAGCCTTGTTTGCTCTACAGTGTCTAAATTGGGTTTGAATAATATAATAATTATCTCGAATATTAAAATTAATATGTCAAAAGAATACGAGAAATGATTATTCTGTGCTGAAGGTATGTTGTGGGCCGCCTGTCATAAATTATCATTATTCTGCATTATCGGCTTAGGATGTTTTTATGACCCACGTCCGGTAGTCGTCTATCCCAGCGGGTCAGGTAGATTTAAAGAAGAATTGCTGGTTGCGTTTAAGGCAACAAATGGCGCCCAATTCAAACTTGTCTCTCGTCTAGCGTTCCCCCTTAAAGCCATATATTATTTTTACCAGTGACTCATCATCGGTGACGGCGGCGTTCAACTAAAAAAATCCTCGAAGAGATTTGCCGGAAGGCTGGGAAAATCTCGGTGGATTCCAGAACAACCTCGAAAGCGCCGATCGCGATTTGTACAGAAGAAACGTATGGGTTTAAATAGGGACCAGTCGTGTAATTTCTTTTGGCAAGAAATAATTTGTTGACTTTTACCTACGCCTATTCTAAATTTCTCTGTCGTAACAGTATGGTACTAACCAATAACTGAGGAATTAGGATTTTATGCCTCTAATACTACTGTTACTACTGGTTGGTTAATTTAAATAAGGCACAAAAATTTATGAATTGATTTATTAAGCGTAAGTTTTTAGATAAATAGCAGTATAGCATATTACCGATTTCTTACTATAAATATTAAAAAAATACAAAATAGCTTGCACGTTCATTTTGTTTGTAAAACATTTGTAATTTATACATTAAATAGCACAATCACAAGGAAAAAAATCATAGCCTGCTAAATAAACAGTAACCTGTCTTTGATATTTCGTAATTCAAGTGTTCAACCATTTGGTGCTAGTCATGAATTCACATTCCTCTTCTATAAATTTTGAACATTCGTTGTTAGCTTGGTAATTTAGTACCCTTTAATTGTGTACTACGTTCCATGTAACGGGCGAACAAAAAGCTTTCAGATTAGAGTTGGCCATGGAAATATTTGTCGTGTCTTTGATTAAACAGTTTTAATGAAGGTTATGCTTGACTTTTTCAGTTTAATCAAAGACATGACAAATATTTCCATGGCCAATTCTAATCTGAAAACTTTTTGATCATCTTTATGTATGCATTACAAAAACGTAAAATTTCCCAAGAATAAAAAACCTGTAATATTTTACAGTAATAATAAAAAAAAAATGATATGAAAATGCGTGGACTATTTTTGGACACACATCTCGACTTCGCACTCCGGCTAAAACTAGGTAGTAACTTACTACATATAGTCGGGTTTTGCTACAGAGTTGAAACTCGAATTTTAAAAACAACAAACATGAATACGTTGAAAGCGTTCAAGATGTGGATTTAACGCAAATTTTAAAAATACCTTGAACAACGCGAAAATTAAGCGTTTTACACCGTATTAAAAGAGAACTACTCAGTACAAGAGAAGGAAGAAATCATATCTGGACCAAATGAGACCAATGGTATCTCTTGCATTACAAAATTATTTTGTGCAGTTTAAAATACGTGTTTTTTGTTTAATTTTAAATATTACTAGATTTAAAATTATCCTCCTAGCTCTGCACCCAAAATATCAGAAAAGGGTTACCTCAAATTTGTTACATGGGACAAAGATAAAACCCATTGAATAACATTGCACATACCCCAAGCTCAAACCGACATTTCTGATTTTGCCTGATGTAATTTTTATATCTTAGCTATTCATCAAGTCAAACGTATAACAATGCAGGAATTTTGAAATTTAAACTGCTACCAAAAGTATTATTCATTACCGTACTCGTAACTAGACTTTTCTGGTTGTTACGCTCCAAAGGTTCAATTTCGCGTCTCAGAAATGTAAAGGACAATAATTAAGATTCATGTTTCCTTTAGCAGGCCATGCAAAAACAATAAATAGTTAAACGGATACAATAATAACGGTTGAGGAACATACATATTTCTCTCTGATCTACTGAGATCACTAATTATGTTGCACACCCGTTATGTCTAATAAAACTACTCAAATACAATGCCACGATACAATAAATAAAAAAATTACATTGTTTATATTTTTTTACGTTTTTGTTTAATAATTCATAATTAGTAACGTCAAAATTTAAAAGTTTTAACCATAATAGTTAGGCCCCCATATAAGCAAATAAGGCATAAACACAGTTAACAACAACAATCAACAAGAAAAGGCAAGAAGCAAGGCATTTGAAAATACAGTTTACTATATACAAATGTCATTTTTTAAGAGAGGTTAGTTATTTTGGATCCAACAGTCTTATTACACAATTAATTTTCGAGATCAAAATATTGAGCAATCACTTAATTTAACACGTTTGTACTTGTTTTTTCAACTGATTCGTTTCAAATATAAAATCTTACTTCTTGCTACCATTCATAATCATATAACAATTTTCGATTTTATTTTTTAAACCGATAACAGGTGACATCGGCATATACAAGCTCTCCGTAATTGCTGAAATTTTCGATTTTTCTTTTGTTTTTTCAGAAACTTTTACCGGACTCATAATAACGTACTCAGAATCAGATGTAAAAATCTGCGAAATTCTTGATAAATCTTTAGCTGGTAGAGTATTACAGCGATGTTTGTATTGTCTCAAGTTGAATTTCTTTAAACTACAATCACCCTTAAAATCTAGTTTTCGTGGTGGTAAAGGCGGCGGTTTACAATGTTTCTTTAATTTAGAATTCATGTCTACAATTAAATCTAACGGATTTTCATAGATATGATTTGTTTGCGATATGGCCGTTTTAACGGGTTCGTCTGCGATTTCTTCATATATTCCCGACGCTAAAGAAATGCCCGATTCTCGTCGTAATAAGAGGCACTTGCTAAAAAAATAAATTAAAAATCAACTAAAAACACTACTTATATCGTGATTTATCATACTTAGATGTCTCATCTTCTAAAACTGTTAAATCTTGTAAAGAATCATCATTGGTTATACTTCCTCCAGGAGTTTTCGTGAACACAATTAACCCCAAACTAAGCAGGCTTGATGCAGTCTAAAAAAATATCGACACAAATGTTTAAACTGATATTCAAAATTTTTAACAAAATGACAAAAAAATACATACCTTTGGTTTCGATAAGTACTGTGAATCATCGGAAGTAACAGATCCTCTAACTCCAGAATCGTCGCTCCCAGCTTGACTTCTTATACACATAGGGCTATTTGATGAGCATAATTTGTTACTATTTGTATTATTACAAAGATCTCCTTCACTACGACTCAACCTTTTCAATGATCTCAAACCAAAAGTTGTCCTAGATCTCTTTCCTCTAGATACTAAGTGATTTAAAAGGCGTGATCCTTGCTTACAGTAGATATGTATTTGGCCAGGCCCAACAGAAAATTCTCTGCAAGAAAAACAACTTTTCTTGAGGAGAATACATTTTATGTAAAAAGTAAAGAATAAAATATAATTAAAATGAGGATAGCAATAATTCGGAGCGTTATATCAATTATTCGTTTACAAGCAGCGCAAACTACAGGTAAAGACGCATGTTAAGCTTTATGCTTCAAGTGAGTTTTTCGTCATCAACATTTTAGCAAGGACATCTATATCAATTCTGATACGTGTAGTGTAATGTATTTTATGGAAAATAGGGTGAGCCGTTTGTAATTTGATTGCGAAATTTATTTAAGTCATCCTGTATAAACAATGTAAAAAAATGGTCAACAGCTATTTCGACATCTCAATTTACCATATGAAATATAACGATTTTTTAGAATTTCAATATTCACAACGTGTTATTCGAACACTTCCGAAAATGAACGAAAGAGTTTTTTTTATACATTTTGATTTCCAGAAGTTATTTTCGTCTTCGTTTTCTGGAAAATTGCCACCATTTTTCCACAATTTACAAAATGAAATATAACAATTTTTTAAAATTTCAATATTCACAACGAATAACATCACTACAATTGAGATGGCGGTGGGAAGGCGGAACTTAAATTTTGCCCTTTTTCTGGATATACGTAACAATCTTTTCACGACAATAATTTAAAACGTTTAAAATGGTAAATTTTTGTCGGGAAACATCGATTTCACAATTAAGCTCCGCCCCTCGATGTGACGACGAATGAAAAATTCATCACAATTGAGATTAGGGAGGGTGGGTGGGGCTTATTTTTTGGATTTTTTTTTCCTTAACATATAGTTTCCTTTCAACAACATGCTACTTAAAAATATGTTTTACATAGTAGTTTCTTGTAAAGAAATAAGCATTTTGCAATAAACTCCGCCTTTTTGCAAAACATAAGCCCCACCCACCCACCCTATTTCAATTGTGACGCTTTTTCTTTATTCGTCGTTAGTCAAGAGGGGTGAAGCTTAATTGCAAAATCCGTATTTTTCCACAAAAATTGCCATGTGAAACATGTTCTTCAGTGATGGTGTTGCTCAGAGAAAACTATATGTATTAAGTAAAAAAACAAACAATAAAATAAAATAAGCTCCACCCCGATCTCTTAGTTCTTAATCGTGATGAATTTTCGATTCGTTGTCAGACTGAGGGGCGGAGCGTAATTACAAAATCTATATTTCTTATTTTAAACACGTTTTAAGTTTCCTGTTGCGAAAATAAGACTACGAACATTAAGAAAAAAAGGCCAAATATAAGTGGAGCTTAAAATCCTTCTCTCTCTACAAGAAATTATCATGTAAAACATGTTTTTGAGTATCGTGTTGTTCAAAGAATATTGTACATATTAAGTAAAAAATAAAGGCAAAGAATAAGTTCCTCTCATAGCCATTTCAAAAAAAACCTTTAATAAATTCATGGATAAAAGATTATCTTGAACTTATTTCAATTGACGAAAACGTTTTTTTGCTTCTTTATAATATTATAAAATTTGATTTTGCGATTTTCGTTTTTGTGATAACGAAAACTTTGGAAAGACATCTGATTCTTAATTATAACACAAAAAGAAAAGAGTGTTCCTACAAACACGAAGTTATTAAAAACAAATCAAGTTATAATTTCTTGTCAATTTTTTTACAATATTGATCTTGATATATGTATAAAATACACCCGTGTTGTAACTTTTCGTTGATTTTTAATTTTATTAGTGAAATCAATTAGTTTAATTACTGCTTATAAATTATCGTGACATTATTAAACAATATTTAAACATTTTTATTATTATTTCTAATATTGAAATAAGATAAATATTAATATATTATACTTCAACCGAAAACCGTTTTCCTAGAAACACGAAGTTATTAAAAACGAATCAGTGTGTTTAAACATTGTTAAATTAACCCCGAAAATGTGCAATTTCCCGGACAAAGTATGAAAAATAATTTTTGCAATCTCATCCTGACGTACGATGACGTCACTGTGACGTGACCAACATGGGCAAAGGTCCTGACTTCTTTTCGCGAATTCCTAATTTATTATTAATAAATATTAGTAAAAATGTGTTTGTTAGTACTGTGAACACGAACAAAAGTGGATATTTTTCCGAAAAGGACAGAAAACGGGGTAAATAAGACTTCAGTTTTAAGTTATCAGGTTCCGTGAATCGTTTACTCGACACTGTTTAAATTTTGGAAAAATTTTCTAAACGGTTAAAGTTGGTCGGTCAAAGCTATACATTTTCACGATACAAGGTGACTGCGAAATACATGCAAAAAAAAAAATGGGGAATAGCTCACAATATGATTATGTCACTGGGTAAAATTCACGGTCCTAAGTAGTAGCAGTGTCTAGAAAAAATTATTTGAAATTCAATGTAAATTGTTGTACGCGCCGCTGGACTGTTTTGTGACCTACATAATTACTACAATGAATGGAACAGAGCGAGTCGGTTAAAGGACCAAAAAAGTTACTTTATCAGGCACTTTTTTAATCGCAACGTGAAAAACACGAAAAGGGCCAGTTAGCATCGAGCGGTCGGTGAAATCGGTTTATGGTGCAGTTTTCCCATGCAGATTGTGTCGATATGGTAATGGGTGCATCAGTGGTACAGCATCTCCGATGTCATGGTACCTTCAACCTCAAACTCACGATCGTGGCCGTGATAGGACAGAAAGAAGAAGTTGGATTTTCACAGCTTGTAGTGCATCCTACATTAAAAGAATACGGCCACATCCATACCATGTTGACAAAGTACAGGGTTTGGAGCCCGCTGATTGTCCACCTTGTGTAACTCACTTTTTGTCCGATGGAACTCCACGTAGTCGTCAACAAGTACGATTTCAAGAGACGGTTTTCGATAAATGTGTATCAGTTGGATGAAACAGTTCGTTTGTGGAAATCAACAGTGTCCAGAAATTATCGAAGAGCTTCAACAAGTGAAAGTGACACCCGCTACTCCGGTGTTTTTTTACCTATCAACAAACCTCTTGCGACGCTCTGACGCCTGTATTGCTAGTCAAGGACAACATTTTCAACATTTCTTGTAAAAAGGTAGTAGCATTCTAAGTTGCTCTTATTTCTGTTCCAATAAACAACGTAAAATCGTTGTGACAAGGACCAAACATCCGTCAGAATCAAAATTACCAAAAAACTTTCACACTGACCTTTAACGATGAATGAGTAAATGAATGAACGAATGATAAGCAGCAAAAAGTCGGTTTTACTTTTAATTGAAACTGAAAGTGTTTAGGTCGTTTTTATTCAAACGTTTTTCCAACTCTGTTTACAAGGTGGCTCAGTGCCTTCGTATCGAGGGTGGTTCATGGGGGTTTTGCCCCATTCGATTTTTAATTTCTTTTTTCTATATTTCGGCTCTACTAGGGTGGGGGATGCCGTGGTTAAAATATTTGCACTTATTTCGCAGTCACCCTGTATAATTAAATAAAATTTAGACATAATTAATATTATTTATAATATTGAAATACGATAAATATTAATATTTGATAAATAAATAGAAAACCGTTTTATTAAAAACACGATGGTATTAAAAACAAATCAATTTGTTTAAATATTGTTAAATTAACCCTGAAAATGTCTAATTTCCAGGCCAAAATATGAAAAATAATTTTTGTAATCTCATCGTGACGTACGATGACGTCACTGTCACGTGAGCTACCTGAGCAAAGGTCACATTTTTCGGTCCTCTGTGTTTGGTTTTGATTTCGGTTTGCAAGATCGTCGCGTCGTTTTGACTTAAATGTAGACTTCTTTTCACGAATTTTTAATCTATTATTAATAAATATTGGTGAAAATGTGTTGTGTTAGTACTAGGGATGTACCGACTGTAGGTCTGGCCGCAGGGCCGGCTCAACACGGTAAGCGAAAGATGCACTGCATCGGGGCGCCCATGACAAGGGGCGCCGGGCAGCGGGCACCGCCTATGCTTTTATATTAACTCTATAAAAATAAACATTGAATCACTACGTACAAAATATTATAGCAGGAACAGACCAAGGCGCCCATCGAACACTTTTCAGAAAAAGCTATAGTTTAATATCCCACTATGGGGAGTGGTTCACAAAAACAGATCATAAGAAGTCACTTTCTGACTGTAATAATTGAAAAAGAGTGCACCTTTGGGTTGGGTGATTGGACCTTTAGATTAATACTGACAAAAAATACCAGATTTATTATTGCATTATCTGGGTAACAATTTGACCAGACAGCGGTATGACCAAAACCAGATGTTTTTCCTAACATTTGTCACGTTTGTTTTTACCATAAAACTCCATGTCGGCACATACTTAAAAATTTTATTTTCCAAGTCTAGTCGGTTGGTTGTGCTGATTGTTCAACAGTTTTGTTATATTTTTCACTGTTCCTGTTTGTAACCGAATTTGGTTTTGTTGTATCATTTTGTGGCTCTTTGTCATCATTAATTTTAAATTTAAATTTCGAATAACATTGAGGTAAGTCTAAATTAAAAATAACTTTGAAATCGTTTCAGTTTTACAACATTAAAAATTGAAAAATTTTTGTAATATAAATATTTTTATACTTATACTATGTAGAAAAGTTGTTGCCCGCAGCTCCGCTTGCGTGGAATTCACAAATCATTTTTCATCCCGTTCACTCCCCCCTCCTTAATGAACCCGTCTAACTTAAAAACTCTTTTTTGTCCCCGGTAGGGGCGGAATTTCAAAAAATCCTTTCTTAATGGGTGCTGATAACACAAAATGTACCTACTGTCCAAATTTCATGTTTGTAGCTTCAGTAGTTTAGGCTTTGCGTTGATAAATCAGTCAGTCTGTCAGTCAGGACAAATACTTTTATATACAGTATGTCCCCGGATTGAGTTCACAAGAGGAAAAAAAACTGTATTTTCTATTTTACAAAAAAATTACAGAGGAATAACATTTTTAGCTTAATTCAAAACGAATAAATCTGCAATATTATCAGGCTGTGTCCTTAAAAAAAAACTAAAAGTAACGAAGAACTTAGAAATATGAAAAAAATAATTTTAAAAGTACTGACCAAGAATATTGAAGTTTTAATTGCAGATTTATTCGTTTTGAATTAAGCAAAATATGTTATTCCTATGTCATTTTTTTGTAAAATAGAAAATACAGTTTTTTTTCCTCTTGTGAACTCATACCGGGGACATACTGTATACAAGGTGATTGCGAAATACATGCAAAAAAAAAATGGGGAATAGCTCACAATATGATTATGTCACTGGGTAAAATTCACGGTCCTAAGTAGTAGCAGTGTCTAGAAAAAATTATTTGAAATTAAATGTAAATTGTTGTACGCGCCGCTGGACTGTTTTGTGACCTACATAATTACTACAATGAATGGAACAGAGCGAGTCGGATTAAGAACCAAAAAAGTAACTTTATCAGGCACTTTTTTAATCGCAACGGGAAAAACACGAAAAGGGCCAGTTAGCATCGAGCGGTCGGTGAAATCGGTTTATGGTGGAGTTTTCCCATGCAGATTGTGTCGAAATGGTAATTGGTGTGCGTGAACATTTGCATCAGTGGTACAGCAACTCCGAGATCATGGTACCTTCAACTTCAAACTCACGATCGTGGCCGTGATAGGACAGAAAGAAGAAGTTGGATTTTCAAAGCTTGTAGTGCATCCTACATTAAAAGAATACGGCCACATCCATACCATGTTGACAAAGTACAGGGTTTGGAGCCCGCTGATTATCCACGTTGTGTAACTCACTTTTTGTCCGATGGAACTCCACATACTCGTCAACAAATACGATTTCAAGAGACGGTTTTCGATAAATGTGTATCATTTGGATGAAACAGTTCGTTTGTGGAAATCAACAGTGTCCAGAAATTATCGAAGAGCTTCAACAAGTGAAAGTGGCAGCCGCTACTCCGGTGTTTTTTTACCTATCAACAAACCTCTTGCGACGCTCTGACGCCTGTATTGCTAGTCAAGGACAACATTTTCAACATTTCTTGTAAAAAGGTAGTAGCATTCTAAGTTGCTCTTATTTCTGTTCCAATAAACAATGTAAAATCGTTGTGACAAGGACCAAACATCCGTCAGAATCAAAATTACCAAAAAACTTTCACACTGACCTTTAACGATGAATGAGTAAATGAATGAACGAATGATAAGCAGCAAAAAGTCGGTTTTACTTTTAATTGAAACTGAAAGTGTTTAGGTCGTTTTTATTCGAACGTTTTTCCAACTCTGTTTACAAGGTGGCTCAGTGCCTTCGTATCGAGGGTGGTTCATGGGGGTTTTGCCCCATTCGATTTTTAATTTGTTTTTTCTATATTTCGGCTCTACTAGGGTGGGGGATGCCGTGGTTAAAATATTTGCACTTATTTCGCAGTCACCCTGTACATTAAGATTGATTCATCATAATGTTATGTATGTTTGTTAATAAAAATATCGCTGTAAAAAATGTGTGATTACAAAATTTTATTTGTTTTTTTTTACAAAAATTTTTTAGAGGGCGTTGAACAGTAAGTTGCATCGGGGCGCCTGGTCCCTTAGAGCCGGCCCTGTCTGGCCGACTAACCGACTAGCCGATTGTTCGGCCAGTAAAAACCGACTAGTCGGCCGACTGTTCGGCTTTGCTAAAACCGGTTTATAAATGCGATAGACAGTGTGTTTTTTTTTTATTTCTCTGACTACCTTAAAAATTTGTTTTATTTTAATAAAAGTTCCTTTGTTTTCCAAAAAATGTGTTAAATTTGTTTGGATAATTTCAACATTTATTTTTTTTTGTAGTAACTCAGTACAAAAATAAAGAATAACACAATTTAGGGCCAGTTTATACAATATTTTAACTGAGATTAAGTTGATCACGCGTTTAACAAGGCCATTAGCGACTTCTGATTGGCGTAGAGTCGGTCACATGGTACTTTAACGCCGTGTTAAAAATTAAATCGCAATTACATATTTAATTGTGGTTCTGTGAACCGGGTTTAATTGTATTATATACTATTTTAATTTTAATAAAAAAAGCCGACCGGTCGGCTGTTTAGCCGACCAGTCGCCGACTGCCAGCCGACGGTGAAAAATGGCCGAATAGTCGGCTTATCCGACCGGTCGGCCACTAGTCGGTACATCCCTAGTTAGTACTGTGAACACGAACGAAAGTGGATATTTTTCCGAAAAGCACCGAAAACGGGGTAAGTACGACTTTAGTTTTAATTTATCAGGTTCCGTGATTCGTTTACTCGACAATGTTTAAATTTTGGAAAAATCTTCGAAACGGTTGATGTTGATCGGTCAAAGCTACACATTGTCACGATATAGTTAAACAAAATTTAGACCTAATTAATATTATTTATAATATTGAAATATGATAAATATTATACTTCAACCGAAAACCGTTTTCCTAGAAACACGAAGTTATTAAAAACAAATCAGTGTGTTTAAACATTGTTAAATTTTTTCCGAAAATGATGCAATTTCCTGTATAAAGTATAAAAAATAATTTGTGTAATCTCATCCTCACGTATGATGACGTCACTGTCACGTGAGCTACCTGAGCAAAGGTCACATTTTTCGGTCCTCTGTGTTTAGTTTTGATTTCGGTTTGATGGCGGCAAGATCGTCGCGTCGTTTTGGCTTAAATGTAGATTTCTTTTCGCGAATTTCTAATTTATTATTAGTAAATATTGGCGAAAATCTGTTGTGTTAGTACTGTGAACGAAAGTGGATATTTTTCCGAAAAGGACCGAAAACGAGGTAAGTACGACTACAGTTTTAATTTATCAGGTTCCGTGATTCGTTTACTCGACAATGTTCAAATTTTGGAAAAATTTTCAAAACCGTTGAAGTTGGTCGGTCAAAGCTATACAGTTTCACGATATAATTACATAAAATTTAGACATAATTAATATTATTTATAATATTGAAATATGATAAATATTAATATATGATAATTAAACCGAAAACCGTTTTACTAAGAACACGATGGTATTAAAAACAAATCAATTTGTTTAAATATTGTTAAATTAACCCTGAAAATGTCTAATTTCCCGGCCAAAATATGAAAAATACCTGAGCAAAGGTCACATTTTTCGGTCGTCTGTGTTTAGTTTTGATTTCGGTTCGATGGCGGCAAGATCGTCGCGTCGTTTTGTAGACTTCTTTTCGCGAATTTCTAATTTATTAGTAATAAATATTAGTGAAAATGTCTTGTGTTAGTACTGTGAACACGAACGAAAGTGGATATTTTTCCGAAAAGGACCGAAAACGGGGTAAATACTACTTCAGTTTTTGCAATTCTTGATTTAATCAATACAATTCATTAATTTTTTTTCAGACACCCCGTATAAGCAAATCTAAAAAATATTAATGCAGTGATAAATCACAAGTATAGACTCATCATAATTTGCACATTTAAGATAAGATTTATTCGGCCAAATTTTGAGGTGACGTTATCAATTTTTTAGGGGGGATGAGCAAATACATTTTGATCAAAAATTTACCATGCTTATGATAACTTTAAAACATCTCCAAGATTTCAAAGCATTCGATTTTGGAGTTTCCAAATTAAATTGCACAAATAAAATTTTGGTTAGCTTTTAACCATTTACATAATATTTCTAATATACATACAAAATTTAACGACAATCGGTCCAGCAGTTTCGGAAATTACGTGTCTAATAAAAATGGATATAGACACCAGACAGACAGACGAGACTACATTTTTCGTACTCTCGGGGTCATGAAGCGTCGAGAAAATATAAAAGTGGCGATTCGTCCGATGGACTCGAGTACCATACTTCCTTAGCTTACGCTCGGGAAGTAAAAATATGCATACGTTTAAAACCACAAATTTTGATTAACGATTCACCATTCCTACAACTTTAAAACGTTTGCAAGATTTCGGTTTTGCAGTTTCAAAGTTAGATTGTAAAATGTCCTCAATTTTGATTTTTTTTCTAAAAATCCATATATTATGAAAAATCAAGGCAAATTCATAAACTGCACGAGTAGAAGCATGCTATTTTATAAAATTTAAATAACATTTACTCTGTAAAATTTTGAGGTGACGTCATCACATTGCTGGTGGGGATGATTAGATAAATTTTGGTTAGCGTTTTACCATCTATGTTATTCCCCCCTTTCAAATAAAAACAATAGCGTTTACAGAATTTCAATATCTCTATCCACTCTCAGGACATTAGGGCGCAGAGTTATATTTGAGACACCTGTATATTTAGTTAACTTATTAGTATTTAGGTACTTGAATAAAAATTTACACTAACCCACTGGTGTGCATAATGATGATCTGTTTGTCATCCACTGGATGGGCAGGTGCTTGAAAATGAAATTGATGAAACTGATGCCACTGCCACGATAATATGGATTCACCAGTACATGGATCTGAAATAACTATTTCTTGAGGATTTGTGCCAAGCACACCATGAAGACCAACTAATCCAGCAGCCCTTGAATGGCTGTTATCGATAATAGAAACGTGGAAATTTGACTCCCCAACTAAAACAACAAGTGTGTTTATATTAAAAACAAACAATAATAAATTTTTAACCACCTGGTAAATACGTGGCCACACACAGCATCTTTCGTATCGATGACATCCAATCTTGTGCATCACTTTCAGATGCTCCTGACAAAAATAACAGAGGTTTTTGTGTCCGGCTTATTGTAAACACTCCAAACGCATACTGCTTAGTTCTTGAATCAGTTCTACAAACAGTTGAAGATCTTGGTAACAAGACACAGTTCAAGACTGAACCTTCCATTGATGATTTGAGTGTTAATTCAACCCCATTTTCCATACTGTCTACACGTTTTAATTCACACCATTGCTTTTGCCATGCCTGTAAAAAGCATTAGGAAATGTTTCAAAACTAAAACAGTGCAGACTGTAGTTTCTCACCTTCCACGGAGTTAAACCTCTTCTACTTTTAGCAGAAATTTTAACATCCAGATAACCACAAACAATATTATTGACATGCATTTTGTAAATAAACTTTGTTTGTTGCTGTTTCAATTCGAATAACTTTTGCCCCACCCCAACGTGGATATGTTTCAAACGACAATTGGGTAACAGCAAACCGACAAACTCCCTTGTTTATGCGGCAAGGCGGCAACCAGTCTTGTCCCTGGTGTAAAATATGTACGAGGTTTAGGGATTTTTGGGTGCTACAGTTGATAAAATTGCGTTATATTTTTGAGATAGGCAACTAACCATAAAGTCACTAGATCTACTATTACTTTTAGAAAGTATGGCCACAGCATATCATTCAGTAAAGACAGCTCGTCAAATATTGGAACAACGTGTCCTTATCCAACCGTTTTGATTAGGCGGGATTTTTGAAACGAAGTGGAATATTGGTTGCCTAAATTACAAATACAGCTCGTCCGTAAAACAATGTAAAAGGAACTGATATAAACATCGAATGAACTGAAACCAATTTTTGGAGTGTGGCATGAAGACTACGAAAAAAATACCACTTTGAACAATAAAAAAGAATTGTGCTTATATTTATTTTATTCATTAATAAAAGTCTATCACTTTACCAAGTTAATTTCAACATAAACATATCAACTACCTATTTTGCCAATGCCTTCAATTTTCGCCAAGTGTGAACCGTTTGAAGAGTCAGAAAGTGAACGCTGTTGTTTTCATCTTCCCTGGGAAAAGTACTTTGATGTTTTTGGTTGAATTTTTGTTGTTAGTTAAATTAGTGAAGTAATTCTGAGAACTTTTTCATAGTAACATGGACTATAGTGGTAGACCACCTCGTGATTCCAGACACAATAAAAAAACCTGCTTCAGAGGCTTCTTTAAATTTCCCTCGGAATCTGTAAGATAAGAAATATAAAGAAGTATATTATTCTATAATCAATACAAAAATTATTTGGTATGCAATTTTTACAGCACAGTGAAAATTCCAATAGTTGTAATGATTTAGGATCTATTTTACTAGCAACTGAATCTAAAGAAAGTAACCAGTGTCAAATTATTAATAGAGTTTTAAGTTGAACAACTTTTGCACATAAATCTGTGGAAGTAAATATGACAGACTACAGACATCTGGACATGGAGGAACAAAATTCTTTAAGTTATGTCTGTGGATACTTACTGAAGAAATGCTTGATGAAATATACCTGTGAAACATGTAGTTATTTTGCCGTTGCACGTAATGTCATCATATATGATAAACTTCTCTGTCACTTCAACGTCTTTGATGATGATCCACCATTTTGGCAATCCTAAAGCTGGCCATTCACACTCCAACGTCCCATTGGATGCAACTGTTGTACAATTCTGTTAAAAAGCAGCAGTACACACACACGTTACGACCTTGCAGTTAAAAATTTGCGATCGTGATGACAACATGTCCGACAAAATGACGAAAATGTACTTTTATAGCTGCTCTCACGATTTGAATAACATACACTGTCGAGTCATGTCCACACATCATCAAATTTCCATCCAATACAACACGATTGTACTGCTGCAGACAGACTTGTTCACCGACCGTCCACATCCAACCGATTTGCATACACAGACGTTCAAAAACACTTCAATTTGGTCATATCAAACACAATTGTTCTGCGGCGTTGAAACGTGAGTGCCGCGCTTAAGATGCTACATGAAACATTCACCTTTTATGTTGCAGCCCTAGAAAAACGATTTGTTTCACTATTTTCTACCAACTCAATTTTACCTTCATGTGGCCGATATATAAAAGCTGCCCTCGTAACTGTGTCCATACCAGCATACCGCACCCCTGTGCCCTGTGTACAGTTTCCACAATATTATTTATTTTATTTATGTGTTCGAACGCGCATTTTCTATTCAGTAAAAATAATAAATCACCGTTACAATATTAAATACCAAACATCTAAAATGTCAAATTTGACGCACAATGTTGACATGGTGGTAAATTTTATTTAGTAACAAGGTTTGCCACTACAGTTTCTAGCCAAAATTCAAGGTCATGTCCTTATTCAACGGTCGATTATTGTTGTTCTAGTCCGTTACGTGTATTTCTTATGGACCTTTCAAAAGCTGTCCTTACTGAATGATATGCTGTGGTATGGCAAACTGCCTGTGGTCGGAATTCGACAGAGAGGAACCTAACCTATGTGTTAAACAAAGATAGCGCGAGGCTAGTAATTTTCGCTATCTGTCAACGAAAGTTTGATGTGTTTACGATTTGAGGTTACGACAGACTGTACTAGAATTATTGAGTTAACGGACCGGAAAGAACACTATTCCAGTCTCAAAGTAACTCCAGCCCTATTCAACGAGAAAGTGTCACCGGTAACCAGCAAACAGTCGTGGAAGACGTGTTACCACCAAGGCAATTGACGGCCAAATGACAGTAACAGGATCGCCATACTGAAAGCAAAAAATACCTGCTGTCGAAAAGACGGAGCATAACAAGGACACAGATATATTTCTATTTCATAAAAGTTACTAATTGCCACACATTTCAAGATCGAGTTACATTAACTAACCATGCACAGGCGTTTATTTTTTTAAATTCGTACAGATTTTTTTAGAAACGCTGCTGAATTTTCAATATTTAAACAAATTTCCGGAAATTTGTGTCATAATTATCAGTATTAACTTTTTTAGATCGCTCCACTTGTATAAAATGTATCAAAACTTACATGTAAATAAAGATGTTGTGTCTTGGATATATGATATGTTGCTAATAAAGTGCTGATAAAAGCCGGAGACGGGGACCAAATCATGGCTGATTTAGACGTTTTATTTACACCGTTGTCATGGAAACCGTGCGTTCAGTCCCCGTATTGGACTGGAATCGGGTCCTGTTCCGACAGTGTTCAGCAACAGTAACTCAATGTAGGTTTTAATTTTCATTCTGTGTGAGTGAAATTGTTTGTTTTTAAATAAAAATAATGAATTCCTCTGCGTCACGACGGTAAAATTTTAGTGAAAAATTTAGGGACAACCACCCCCCATTTATTAATAAAAAAAGTGTTCATGGCAAAACGAGAGACTTTTGTAGATATTTTAATAGACGTAAGGTAATGCGGAACAAAAACAAAGTAAGTACGAAAACAGGGGAAAAGATATTTATTCAAGATGATTTATCGAAAAAATATAGAGAAATACAAAGGAAAATTACAATAAGAGCAAAAAAAGAAAGAGAAAACGGGCAAGTCACTAAAATAAGGTATAAAAAACTGCTGATAGGAATTGAAGAGTGGAAATGGGGAACGAAAAAAGAAAACCTGATAAAAATGAAGCAGCTTAAAATTCAAAAAAACTAAAGAATGAAATAGTCAAGTCAGCAACAAAGAAACGGACCAGGCAATGAATACGGCAATGAATATGGTAACAAACAAAAAAGAAAAGAAGAGGAATAAAAAATAGAAGTGTGAAACAAAAACAAAATATTATACTCATAGGAACATGTAACATAAGGGGTATTTATGAAGAAGGAGCTATCAAAAACCTTATTAAGAAAATTAAAAGATATAAAATGGAACCAATAGCTTTACAAGAAGCACATTTGGCAGGTAAGTAGCGGAATACAATAAATTGACAAGTACAATCTGTTTAAAAGTGGAGGCGCAACCAAACTCTTTGGGACAGGTTTTATAGTGGGGGAGAGACTTAAAGGAAAAATAATAGACTTTATGCAGATATCAGATAGGATCTGTGGGATAAGAGTAAAAGGACAAAACCAAAATCTATTCGTTCTAAATATACATGCACCGACAGAAGAAGAAAAAGAAGATGATGTAAAGGATGCATTCTGTGAAGAAATGGACAGAGTCATCGACAAAATACCAAAAAAAGATATCATAATTATAATGGGAGACGCAAATGCAAAAGTAGGGAGAGATGAAATACTTATAATAATAATAGTAATAATAATAATAGTTTATTAACGGAAAAGAAACTCCTATTACATAAAACAAGAAAGCAATTCATTTCCTACTATTTCTTTACATAAGTAAAGAAATAGTAGGAAAACAGAGCAAGCATGAAGAATCAAACAACAATGGCCTAAAATTAATCGAATCGGCTATAGAAAAAAATATGAAAATAGTAAGTACGCAATTTCAACGAAAAGATATACACAAGGGAACATGGATCATTCCAGAAAAACAAGAAACAAACCAGATTGATCACGTACTAATTCAAGAAAAGCACTATAGGTTAATAACATCAGTGAAAACCTGTCGACGGGCTGACATAGATTCAGACCACTTTTTGGTAAGGGCAAAGCTAAATTAATGGAAAGGGGAAGACAAAGAACACAGGAGGAATCACGAAGTAAGGTATAATACAAAAGAATTCCAAACACAGGAAATCAAAACAAAATATGAAGCAGGCATAGAAATAAACCTCGAAAAGCAAGATCTTTCAAAAGAAAAAAATATAAACACCAAATGGAACAATATAGAACGAATAGTAACAGAAGCAACAAAAAGATATGTGAGTAAAACCAAAGCAAGAGAAAGGAAAGAATGGTTAGACGAAGAATGCGAAGCAGAAATAAAACATATAATAGCTACTCAGAATGAAAATGCTGCATATAATAAACGAAGAAAATACAAGGAATTATAACAGTCAAAGAAAGTTAGTTAAGCAAATATGTCGCAGGAAAAAAAGGGATCTTTTAGAAAGACAAATAAAAACTAAAGAGGAAGCATGCCAGAAGAAACTTTTATGAAGACATGAAAACGTAAAGTCAACAAAATACGAATCTACGCAATATATAAAAGATATAGAAGGCAACTTAATAGGTGACGATGAAGGAAAATTAAAAAGATGGAAACAGTACTTCGAACAAATCTTAAATAGCGAAATTAGAGGAGGTCAGAGAGAAGAGCAAAAACAAGTACAAAAAAAAAGAACTTTAAGTAATGAAATTATAGCAATGCCAAGAAGAGAAGAGATAGAGGAGATGATCATAAATCAGATGAGGAATAACAAAAGCCCAGGGAGAAATGGAAATACAAAAGAAAACCTAAAATATGGAGGTGAAAATCTGAAAGACCTGCACCTCCTCTGATCCTCTTTTGACAACCGACCGCTTCTTTTAAAATAGATGTTGAATTGAAAACTTCATTGGGAGACTCGCGTCCGCGTGAAAGATGCAGCTTACCCCAATTATTTTGCGAAGATCGGGTAGAGAGTATAATATGTAGCAGGTTTTTTTTGCATAAAAATGGGGAGTGTGTCAATATAGTAAAACCATCGAAAAAAGGTAGGAGATTATGACGAGGTTCGCTTAGTGATCTTTCGACTATCAAAATTTAAATTTACCGCTACAGCATCGTATTAATTTGAGTTATTTGTATTCAGTTACTTTAATTGAGATTTCTCTTTTCCTTTGTGTAAAATTTTGCTTTATTCGACTCCGGGCAATTAAAAAGATAAATACATACTTAAAATATTTCTTATAATGTAAGCTAAATTTATTTCGAAATGTGCCTAATTGAGAAATTAATTAGCAACGTTTTAATTTGCATGACTTGATGTTTCCAGAAATGTTTTATTTTATTTGTACAATTTATTCACTGCATTTTGTTTTACTGGATTTTATATGAAGGCAAATTGCTTAAAATTTCTAAAAAATATTATTTTAGCAACAACAAAGATGCCAAGAGTCTCATTTTTAGTCATTTGCGTAAAAACAACTCATATTTAATAAGTGAATTTTGATTGTAACTAATTTGCATTAAAACGATGTCCTTGATTATAACTTGCAACTTGCAACATTTGAAAGAATTTGATTGCGATAATCAAAAAACTAAATGGCGACTAATTGGTCTTACGTGCAAATATCGCTACTAGGGATGATTTGTACACATAATTAACAATATTGGGGTAGAATTATAAGATTGCTGAAAATATGGATCATCGCACACATTGTCCCCATTTTGTTCGACATAAACCTCTATTACACTTAAAAAACGCGATAGACATTCAAGACATGCTATTTTGTAAATTTTGTGATGAACTCTATTTATTTACCTTCATACATGAATTTTTTAAGCATATGTAGTACACACGTATGTAATTATTATTAATGAGGTGAAAGGTGGGGCTGAGGTAAGGCAATACTTTCTCTTTCATTTCATTGGCAAGTTTCACTTTTCATCAGTTTGTCTCTCCACTTCGAAGAGAACAAGTGTTAAAAATACATCCTGTACCATGAATAAATATGCATGTTGTTTGGTGAGTTTATCTTCTTGATATTGCTGTATGTGAGTGCTATATTTTTTAAATGATTTAGTAAATATTGTAAGTGGTATATATGCACTAATCTAGTTATTATTCTGTTTAACTATTCTATATACAAACATTTTGCAAATTGTTTCAGGTTGTGCTGATTAGCTTGATAACAATATCATCTGCGATTCAACCACGTGCACCAAATTTCCAATATTTTGAAAGGTAATTAATTAATACTTACTATTATGATGTGATTAGTACTGGTATTTTGATTTAACGGTTCCCAGCAGCTTTTAGAATTATCTGATTTCACTTTTTCTTATTTTTCTTTTAATTGTATTATTTTATTCAATTTATTAGTTTATGTCTTCATTTTACCTTACTTCATATGTAGTTACGTTCTGTAATACGTACACACTGAAGAAAAAAATTCTCTATCATTGTAAAAGGTGCTTTAAATATCAAGATTTACTTTTCCTTGATCACCTATTTTTTTTATTTATGGATATAAAACGTTAAAATTCCGAATATTTATTATTAAATACTTATAAAAATAATTAGGCGAGAACAAATCGTAATGAAACAAATTATATGTTTTATTTATTTTGGCAGGACATTCCGTAATCTGATTGTACTTTTTTGTAGACCGAAATATCGATATCCTTATTACGATGAGAATGGAGTTGGACGTCTTTTATACGGATATGGGGATGACAAACTTTATCAGTACAAAACATTCACCCCACTGGAGGGTATACACTGAAAGATATTTTGTTGTATGTAACGTAATTTTTGCAAATCCCAGATGATACATTTTCTAGAAAAATGAATATGAATGATCACTGCAATAAACCAAAATACACGAATTTTGACCACTTTGATTTTTGATGTAATAAGTAATAACTGCTAAAATTACACATAATAAAAACTCGAATAATTATTGTTATGATGGAATAATACGTTAAAACCGGTACTATACAACCTGTACAAGCAAAACATTTATTTTCTTCACGTTTACTATTGCGTTTTTAATGATGAATTTATACTTCTTGCAGTAAGGTTTTACAAATGTCATAATTACGAAATTTGAAGTCACATTGGTAAAAATTCGTGTACATTTTTTTCTCCGTTGTATTAACATTATTAACATTTTATAACGAATACATTAATTACAACAACCAAGTATGTTTTGTTTTCATAAGCAGAGCATGACGGTTAGAATCGTTAAAACATTTTCTACATATTTAGTTTATAGTTATTTTAGAGAACTTTTCAGTTTACCTAGTCATAAAATGCTTGGCCTACAAAACATTCGACTGTTAAAAGCATGTAGTTACCTAAAAATGAAAAATAAATAGTTAATAAAAACATGTTTTACTTTATTTTCCTTTTTACCTGTCAAGCGTAAGCGCAAAGAAAATATTGTAATGAGGTCTGTTAGGCGACTGGCTACTTTCATGTTTTATTGACGTTTCGTAACCCATGGAGTACGAAAAGTGTGGCCTCCCCTTTCTTTCTGTCTGTCAGTCTATCTGTCTGTCTGTGTCCATTTTTATTAGACATATAATCTCGGAAACTACTGGACCAGTTGTCATAAAATTTTATTTATCAAAAATCTATGTTAGGAATATCGTGTAGAGTAGACCAACAATGTAATGACGTCATCTTCAAAATGTATAATAATAAATGTTGTGCTAGGTTAAATTACTTGGCTTGGTAGTTAATAAAAGGGAGGAAGCGTTTGTTTAATGACAATTAGTTGTAACGCCGACGACGCCACCGTTTTCCCCAATACGCCCAGCTAATTCTTGCGGGTTTATAATCGGAAAACATGTGAAATTTTGACCGATGCGAACACGTATAAATTTGATCCATTGTTTGTAAATTCACAGATCAGGTTAGGATTTTAATCGTTAACTGGTGCTAACACAATTTAACAGACATTAGATTTATTTAGATAAATCACTTACTAGGAGATTTCATGAAATTCACTTAGTCAGGATTCAGCCTTTTGTTTAACAAAGTTACGAATAACGGTTCTGGATGCTAATACTTGAGTGTTACATTATAACATTTCTAATATCTTCACACAAGATTGCTAATAGTTCATTTACGGCAGTTAAATTAACAAAATTCATAATATGGTGGACTGCGGGACGGGGGAATTAACGATTTGTCTCCTTATGCAGTCATCATTATTATCATCGCACGCGATAAAGTAGCTAGATTAAGTTTAGTTGTTATTATTTAGTTGATAGTTAATAAAAAGGAGGGAGCCTTTGTTTAACGAAAATTAATCGTACCGATGGCGACGCCACAGTTTTCCCAACGAGCGTAACTAATTCTTGCTGTTTTTTTAATCGGAAATATGCAAATTTTCGACAGTTGCTAACACGTGGTGTAAATTTGATTTATTGTTTGTAAATTCACAGTTCATGTTAGGATTTTAATCTGGTTCTAACACGATTTAACAGTCATGAGATTGTTCAGATAAAGCACTTGCTACTAGATTTTATGAGATTCACTTAGTCAGGATTCATTCTTTGTTTATCAAGTTATAAATAAGGTTTCTGGATGCTTATACTTAAGTGTTACATTATAATACTTCTTAATTCCTCACTCAAGATTGCTAATAGTTCATTTACGGCAGTTAAATTAACCTAACGTTGTCCCACTCCGGGAAAAGAACCGTGTAAAGTGCAGTAGAATTCATAATATCATGGACAGAGGGATTAAAAAATTCTCTCCTTAGGCATTTATCATCTGGACATCAAGAGACGTATCTCTCACGACGTGGGAAATTATATCATCCAAACGTAATTCTTGCAACGAGGAATCGTTGATAAAATGTGGCATAATTTAACATCATGTAAATTCTTTGTTTGAATCGTCGATAAAGTGTAGCAAATATTAACCTCATGCAATTTTTCTCTATCTCACAATTTTAGCCTCAGTAATTTTTTTTGCTGTATAATTTAAATTGAAAGTAAACTTTCATGCTCTGCAGTTCCTAATCTCACGTAATTTTTTTGTCTGCACAAGTTTTACTTTACACCAGACCTTTTTTTTTGTTGCCATAAATCTTTGCTAGTTATTTCTACCACGTAAATATTTTGTTGTCTGATACCCAATCTTAATCTCAGAATTTAAATGTTGTTTATCGCTCTTTTTGAAACTTTAACACTTGTTCGGTTGTAGTTTAATATCAGAGTTATAGAAATGGAATATCGAAATGGAATTGAGGTAAATAACACAGAAACACTTGGCGGAAGCGGAGTGCGCGGTTCCTTGTCGAGCTAGCGGTCGCGCCATCTGCACAAAAGACGCAGATCTTGAATAAAAGTCAGGAGAGCAGTCAGGATGACGTGACGCTCGCGGCTTATCTATAGCCGGGATTTCCAACCACGAGTTTGCGACCGTAACGACCTGTTACGTGGTTAGATAGAGGGGTGCTCAAAGTTAACCAAGTCTTTTGTAGCTGAGAACTCAGAGGTCTTCAACCTGCACAACTTAGTCGCTGCTTCTTTTCTTTTTTTTTTGTCAGTGGAGGAATAAATGTTTTGCGTCCTCCATATATTTTGTGTTTTATTTAGCGGTACTTCTCCAACCTTTGGGGTCCCCTACTTTACGTCTGAACGCATTCCGCCACAAAAAAACACAATGTAGGGTTACATTTTATTAAATGATCACAGCCGATGCCAAATTTTTTAACTTTTCGCTGGCTTTCAATTTTTTTTTTCACATGGGAAATTTAAGGCGGGATATTTGGGTTATCACAGTCTTGACAATAAATATTTCGATAGCTATCGAAGAGTGAAATTTGCCGAAATATTCTCTCAAATGGACAAACCCTTGAAACACACTATTGCGATTTCTGGCGAGAGTAACTCTTAAATGGATGCTGGGGAAGTAACAGAAATTTGATATAGGAATTTAACATTTTTAAAACTAGATATTTCAAAAACTTACTGTCTTTGACTTTGTCGCTTTATCAAATGAGGCAATAATTGAAGCAACAGGAAAAATTCTGAAAGAAAAATGAAAATTGTTTTAGATCGTGTATCTAATACTTATAAAGTTAGATGTTGTGGTGACCGCACTTGAATTAAAAATTTCGCGCTGAAATAATTAACAGTGGCGCGAAATCGCATTTGAATAATTTGAATTTGAGAAAAAAATTCAATAAGAAAATCGTTAAACATAGGCAACCATGTGCACGTTAGCGCTTTTAGGTAGTGGGTAGTTCTGCTTAAAATTTTAGTTAAAGGGTTGATCGAAGAGGGCGGCTTGGTAGAGAGGTGAAAGCGTCACTTTTGGTGTGTTGCTACAGCCGTGGTGTGTTGTGAGTGGTGAGTAGGTTAAGTTTAGTTGGCTTGGTAGTTCATAAAATGGAGGAAGCCTTTGTTTAACGACAATTAATCGTAACGATGACGAGGCCACAGTTTCCCCAACATGCATAGCTAATTCTTGTGGCTTTCTAATCGAAAAATGCGAATTTTCGACCGACGCTAAAACGATCTGTAAATTTGATTCATTGTTTGTACATTAACGGTTCATGTTGGGATTTTAATCGTTAACTGGTGCTAACACAATTTCACAGACATTAGATGTAACGGATTTTTATTTAATTTTGAATTGATTTGGATTCGAAGTGGTGGCGCATCTATCACGCGTAGTGTTGGTGTGAGCTACGGGAAAAAACGGGGAGAAAAAGAGAGATAAGAACGGAGGAGATAGCGGGGCGGGAGCGAGTGAGGAGCTCGGGAGGAAGACAATCAAGTTCAGGGGCTTTTCAAGGAAGATTTTCGGGAAGAGACGGGACCTGAGAACCGAAGGAAGAGTCAGGAGCCTCCGCCGCCTACGCTGAGGAGAGAAGAGGTGCCCTTCCGCATATTTTAACAGTGATTGGCTTATCGTATGTAATATCTTTAATAATATCATTTGTCGTAAACGTAGTTTTATTGGGCTCGGGTTGAAACCCACTTCGTGAGGTAACAATAAAGTAGCATTTATTTGAAATCCGGTAAGTAGGTTACATAAATTTTGGCGCCCAACGTTTCGTAGAGTCCTTTAAACTGCGTTTATGATGGCAGGATCCTATTTTAATATGGAACCAAATTTTTTGAAATCGAGCGAAGTTAATCACGAGTTAAAAGTGCGGGGGGTTACGCCCGATCGCTTAGATCTAGATACAAAGCGTAAACAGCTGCGACGGAGACTACGAGAAGATTTGAATCGTGGTGAAGTCATGTATGCTAATCCCAATTTCGATTTCGAGGCGGAAAAAACGGAGGTTGAAACAACACTAAGTGATATCCGAGCCTTGTTGGATTCTTTTGATGGTCGACGGGGGGATGGGAACAGGAGACTTCTCACCAAGTACTATCATGTAATGGGTCGCTTACATCGATTCCCAGCGACGGCGCCCGTAGCTGTGCAAGAATTCAAACATGATCAAATGGCGATGGCGGAAGCATTGGATGAAACCAGGTATGAAATGGTGGAACAAACCTCTCTACCTCCAGATGATGCGACCGCGAGTCCGGCGGGAGTCAACCAGAACACTACGATCCTTAAGCCTACTCCGGTACACAAGTGGAATGTAACTTTTGATGGTAAGTCTCAGCATGATTCGGTCAATGGGTTTTTACAACGGATAGAAGAATTGCGAGTGGCTCGAAATACCTCAAAAGCGGAATTATTTAGGTCCGCTGTAGATTTATTCGATGGAAAGGCACTTTTGTGGTATAGATCGATAAAACCATCAGTCAGTTCGTGGGATCAGCTGATTCAGGCTTTAAAGCGAGATTTTTTGCCGCCAGACTATGATCAGGAACTTCTTAAGGAAATTCATAATCGAACGCAGGGATCTCGTGAGTCAGTTGTTTTGTATCTGGCGACTATGCGCAATTTGTTTAATCGGTTGTCGGATATTCCACCTGAAATTTCCCAATTGCATCTAATTCGTCGTAATCTCTTACCGGTTTTCCAAACCCACCTCGCTTTGCACGACATTAAAACGTTTACTCAGTTGTCGGATATCTGTAGGACCCTGGAAAGCGTTTTAGCCAATCAGGAAAAATTTCGACCACCTCCGCGGCGAAGCATCGCTCTGCTAGAACCCGATTTAGCTTGTCCAGACGGGGATAACCAAGAAAATAAGTTATTCTCGACCCCTCAATTTCGTAATACCTCTAACATTTCTTCTCCACACCAAAAAAGTGAATTGACATGTTATGCATGTCGGAAACCGGGTCATTTTCGGCGCGAATGTCCTAATAAAACCCCGAAAAAACCTACTTGTGCTGGCTGTGGAAAAGTAGGTGTCATCCACCCTAACTGC